TGATTAATTTTCTACAAAACGCACCTATGAGCCTAGTATGCAACCATAGATATTACTTGGGCTAAAAGATATTATTGTCGTCTTGTAAGATAGTATCAAGAAAATGTATAACTGTTTATTGTAATATCCATTGTGAATGAAAACGTTAGCTTAATTTAGTAATTTTCATCCATTGATTCGCAAGATACATTCCTAATAACTTGACATAATTTTGCTTATTTATAAAAAAATGAATGAATGATTGTCTGTTGAATAACTTACATTCATTCAATTACCTTTTTCTAGAGTTACCCGACAAAGTTGGCTTCCTTGCACTGATAGTACAAGGATATACAAGGATATACTGCTAATTGCTGCATTTACTTACTTTGTCGCACCGTTTATACTTCGTCGCACGGTGTATACTTTGGCGCACACCAGTATTCCAACAAAACACAAAACAGTGTAGTTTTACTATGCACGTAATCCGTGTACGCTTGGAAATAGGTTGGCAACACTTAAAGGTACTTCTACTATGATCAGCTGATTGACTATTGATACTACGATTTAACCTGTCATTTCGTGTATGTTCTATTTTCATTCAACGCTTGGTTTAAACATAACCTAAAGTGTAGTATTTGAAAGAATAATAATAATTGGGCCTAACATGTTTGAGCGTAATTCACTCAGTGATTGTGAATGTATGTGTACACCAGAAGAACTATGTAGCAGAATCTGCAAAACATGTTTCATTAAACTGTTTCATGAAAAATCAAGAAAGAACTATGAACGAGCATACGGGCTGTTTTCTTCTTGGTGCGTAAGTAAGAAAGTTACAAAATTATTGATTTGTTCTGTTTATACTGATTATTAATGTTTATACCTGTACTCTTGAAAACAAGTAACACTAAAGATACGGAATGGGCAAACGGAAGGGACTAAGGCTAAATGTGTAATGACGTCATATCTCTAGTGGTTATTGTCTTCTCTTGAGGCGACACGATTCCCGTAACGAAACGATATGATTTCAGCGGCGATCGTGGCATAGTTGGTAGCGTTTCGGATTGCTGTTCAGGAGGTCCGGGGTTTGAAACCCGCTGGCAGCATTAACTCTTTGTCAACAAATTTTTCATATCAGCAAGTTTGGTTGGTTAGGTTAGGTTATGACAGTTTAATTTTATAATACTAAATTTTAAAATTAATTTTATAATTAATTAAAAATTATAAGTATTCATTAATTAGATTTTTATCTTATATAGTTTTTATATTATCAGCAAGTCTGGTTGGTTAGGTTATGTTATGACAGTTTAATTTTAAAAATTAAAAATTTATTTTATAACTTTAAAACAATATTTTATAATTAAAAAGTTAATTTTATAACAAAAAATAAAAAAATAAAAATTAATTTAAATTTTTTCAACTTAGCAGTCCTAGCGGCGAACGCTGACACTACAAGATATGTTAGCCTTAGTCCCTCCCGTGTTTCCCACCGCTAAAGATACTACGACTACAATCAGAAGGTGCAGTGTTTCCCATTTTGTTCAGTGCTTGGTTTTAACCCAACCTAAAAACGTGTTGAGTGTTTGAAAGACTAATTATTTTATATGCTTTATAGTGACTGTAGGAAAAATATAATGTGTAACGCGAGCGCAAATGGCCTTTGCTGCACTCGAGAAACATTCCGCAATCGCCTGCGGCTCGTGCGTAAACATTTATCTCGTGTGCAGCAATGTGCCACTTTGCTCACTAGTTACACAAATAACTATTTGATACTTATGTATCAATATGTAGTAGCTGTATTAAATAAGAAAATAGTTCAATTGAATTAGTAACACCAAAAACCATAGACTATAGGGTGTGCTACAGCCTAAAATGCTAAGTTCTCCTTTTTCTGTTACTGAGATTAACTATCTCAACATCAACATGTGTCATAGAAGGTGATTTAGTTTACAATAAGTAAAACTCGGTCCTATCAGTGTGGTTTGGTTGAAAAGTTGAATTTTTGTCAATAATTTACATCAGATCACTTTTATTGTAAAACTGGCTACAACTTTGCATCGGAATGGAATATCTTTAGTGTTACATGTACAATAAGGGATACAATTTAATTATTCGTTAAACCACAGACTTCATACAGTATCAGAGGTCCAACGTTTTCTAAAATCGAACGTGTTGAAAGCAATTCTGGTCCCGAGTAGAAAGTACCATAAAAATATAAAATAACGTAGATTGTGTTTTGACAGCTGAGTTCTCTGACCTTTGAACTCTTCACATTCCGTTACTTTGGGCCGTTGATTTGGAGATGTCCAAAGCAGTAAGTTGGTTCCTGTTGATTTCACAGCATTTTAACAGTTTCAAATCGAACGTTTCTGCATACATAGGTAACGTTATTGAAACTATCAGGACATACATTCAGCATTCAATCGTTACTGAATGGATGTTAGGATTCTTACCAAGCAAGCATTGCTTCAAAGCTATATCAAACTAAGACTATCGGTAATAAGACACAGTACAAACGACTATCTTCTCTGTGGTAGAGTCTAAGTAACAGTACAAACAATTAATACAACACTTATACAAATATGATCACTTCACATTTTAAACAGGATGGTAGCAAAATTACACATTCAAATGCATTAAGAAACACAACTAACGTCAAATAATAAATGTTTTTTATGGGTCTTTCTCAGAAGAGGGCCGCCATTTAAACTGTGGACTAAGTTTGTGTCATCTGTTCGGTAAATAAAAAAAATAACCTAAACTTATAAACTAACCTAACGTAACTTCATCGAACCCAAACTGTGCTTATTCCACTGTTTAAAAAGTGACGGTCCTCTTCTGAAAAGACCCTCTTTTATTTCACAATAGCTTACAAAATACACTACACCTCTTCTATGTTCCAAATTTCAATTTCATACAGAAAGCTGTATAAAAAACTAGTTATGTGAAATGTTGAAATTGCGGTTGTTTCGTTAACTTTTGAGTTTTGGAAATGTTCAATGTAAAAATTCAGCTTTTCTTTGGTCCAGGAATAATACTTCAAAAATTCGGTGAAGATTTCGGGGACATTCTTTATGTAACGATAGGAGTTTCATTAGGTTAAGGGGAGTAATTATAATCTAGGTAGGGTCTAATAGTTATTTTATTTTCTGGGTGCTTCAATTTAAAGTTAATACTAACTGTTTAGGTATTTGTTTATTGTTTTTTGATTTAATAAAAGGGACAAAAGGGTTAGTTGTATTGACTTGGAAAATGTTTGAATTTGAATTGCGTCCCCTAAAATGTTAGTCGTTGCTCTTACAAGATTTAGAAACCAACAACAAAACGCTTCGCTCGTATGTTAAATAGCTCCGATTAACCTTCTATCTTAAAATTCCCTCCGAACACGCCACCTCGTTGCGAAAGAGCTCGATTATTTCCGACTGCAAACAAAACCACCAAATATGTATCCCTCCACTGCTGCTGATGAACGGTTGATAGCTTCTCCTCCACGATCTCTCTCTGATGTGTTCGCCTAGCAAGTCGTAGTTCCTCGGATCACCACATGGGGCGCGGCTGTTAGGCTTTTGGTAGCAGTTTTATTGTCCAATCAACTCTTGTGTTTCTACTCCCTGCTGTGAGAAGAGCTTCTTGCCGCCAAACCGATTATTTTATTTCACGCGAGCTTCCGATCTCGCTGGCTGCGCTTCGGTATCAGACGCTGACGGAGTCAGGAATACACAGATACAACTGCGGTGGACCATTCTATTGCGAGTCTAGGGAATGTATTACCATAGCCTGCGTTTGCAGAAAAGTCATCGGACGATATTTGATTTTAAGTATGTAATTATGATAATGTAGTAATAATACTATTGTAAAACTACATATTGTACCACGTATTGTACCACATAGTGTAACACTACTATGTAATGTAGTAATACAAATTATTATTCCCTTTTTAATTAGTATTCAGCTTAAAATCCGCACCTAAGTGCATAGCTGTCTCACGAAGTTGAATTGAATAGCTTAGGTTTGTGGATAAATCTATAAGTATAAAAGAGGATGTTGGTATATATATTTGGCAGTGATAAACTTAGACACCGCTGGACCGATGGCCACGAAACGTGGTAGAAACATGTAGAATTTCATGGAGTAGGTTTATAGACCATCAATTTCGTGATAACGTTTAGGGCTTAGCATGTAATCCACTTTTTGACGTGTCTATATGCATGTATGTGTCTACTGGAATTAAAATATTGATTGATTGATTGATAGCGCCCTAGCGCAGTGATGAATGTGAATGGTAACCAAAAAGGTAATTTTCTTCAGAGCTTCACCCCACTGATGTATGGTTAGAGTTTGCTTTCAAAAATTCACTGACGATGGCCAACTTTAATTAAAACGGTTTAAATTATTTAAACGTGAACAAGGGATATTTCAGTTGAATGCATGACAGTAATAACTGCCTCAAACAAATAAAATCATTGACAAAGAAAAGGGTAATGAATTATTCATTTTGCGTCGGAATAGAACACTTTAGAAATACGAACATGCACACGGGGACCCTAGTAAAAAATAATTTTGTAATCAAAATCTGAGATTAAACACTACAATAATTACATTTCATATTCTCAAAATTAAAAATCAATCAGGCAAATTAATTTATAAAGTCAAATTTAATTCAACCATGTTATTTACATATAACATTCCGGTGGGACACTACATATGCTTGTTATTAACATTTTTATTTGCCAATCCATCAATATTTCCCGTTCCAAGATTGATCCGCACGGGGATCCGCTTTCGGGGCGGAGAGGCTAATTGATTATTAATTAGGTAAAGAAGACGGACAAAGTAGAACATTATTTGAACAGACACCTGTATTTATTTGCAAATAGTGTCCAATCGGCCAATGGGTAGGTGACACACCTGTCCAATGGAAGCGGTTAGCATCTCGGCGCAAACGCCGCCAAGTTCCGCCCATCAGATAGTAGAACCGAGAACCGACACACCGTCGCGGACGGTTCAGTAGTTCAGTACCTGCAGCAGCTAGTTGCACCTACGGCCGCTCGCCGTCACAGCGCTAGCGTCGCAGCCGCCATCTGCCGAGCGCCAGTCGAGCTGTGGACTCCGGAGAGAGAGCATCGCGTCACCACGGGTTTGTGTGCGTGCTTGTTTACATCTTTGTGTCATCGACGTTTGACCTGACTCCAGTATCGACTGTCCGAGGAGACGGTAGTTCACTCATCGTCAGAATTGTGTTGGTGAACGTCAGTGTGTAGGATTTCGTTGTCTAGCAATTTGATTAAGAGGTAGGCTAGCTTTGAACGTGAATCGATTGAATTCTATTCAACGAGTGTAATTTCTTTGTTGTGTTCTCGCTGTTTAACTGTATCGTGTTGTATATTCACTCTAAATACATTTAGATAACATTTTCATAACCAATCCTGAATCTCTGAACGTAATTTGTGTCAATTCCACGTAGTTCTCTGTAAACATACACTGTACTGTCCTACTGTCACAATGGGGTACTTAGCACGAGGTACTGTCAGCTGTTTAAGTCACGTGTTGTAAACAAACGTTAGGCCTAACCTAACCTAACATCACTGCGCACGGCGTGGGACTTTGTCGCAGTCCTTAGTTTGACAGATCATTCAAGGTTATTTGTACAAAAGAGCCCTTACCGCGGGGGGTAGGCTTTGAAAGGATCTTTTCTCTATTGCCATTATTGACAAGCCCAGGCGGTACGCTAAAGGAGGCTACCTAATTGCTTGAAGCCCAGTTGCTACCTGCCCTGCTAAAAAGGTAAGATTGAATTTCCTGTAGACCTAATAGTAGAACCTAATTTAAAGAGTTCCTTTCAATTTTGGTAAACATATTATATTTCCAGGGTCATTGTGAATTTGCGATTAGTGGTACTGTAGTGATGTATGTGTATTCTAGAGAATTAAGTCGGTCATTTAGTTTCAAGTACGCTTCATACAGTTTGTTTGTTTTTCGTGTGTAATAAATTTAAACTAAAGACATTCAAGAGTGGACTATTTTCACAAATGCAGACAGGTTGTGTAACAGCAGTAAAATACTAGGTACCTAATAACATTGGCGACCACAGTAATAAAATATTTAACAAAATCACTTATTACAGTAACATCAAAACTAAGTTATTCATAGACATACTATCGACACAACACAACACTGTTATTGTATACCGTAACAATAGAAGCGATAAAAATGAAATGACAGTAGATTATGATAACAGCAATAAAAGATCAATATTATACTGACAATAGATGCAGGTTTATATTGTAAGTTAATTCTCATTATTCTAATACCAGGCCAATTATTCTGGAAAATCAACAACCAATTTAGATTTTAGAATATGAAATTGCGATTATAGGGAATTATTCCTGTTGCTTTTAGGCCTAATACTCAGATTGCACCATCCCTAAGTTGATTCTTATTAACCATCACGACGAATCTAGTTTGTTATTGTTCTAAACCTGATGAGATGAGTGATAAGTGGGGGAAAATAACGATTATCGTTGATGTGAAAGTCTTAACTATGTCCCTAGTTGGGTATGGAATGTTCCCAATGTTCCAGAAGGCGTTGTTTTTATTCGAGACGTGTTGGTCTTCATTCTATAAATATTTAACTCTATAATATAAACATATTAACACAAATATCTGATAATAACTCTGTAATGTTAAAACGAAGATTATAAATATTAGGTTTGACAATATCCCCTGAATCCCCTTGATTGCACTATATCAGACGTTACCCTCTTGGTTGAGAGTTGGTGGAGAATCGACGTAAACAAAGATGTTATTCTATGTTCAGTACTGTATCTCAACTTATTAGGGTAAGATTTTCTTCAGTTGGAATTTGTGGGTCGAATTTCCCTTTTATATGACATCTAGCCTATATTCAAACTTTTTACCCATCTAATACTTTATACAAGACTATAGGTAGAAGTGTTCTTTTGAAAGCTGATTCCACGTTTTACATTCTACAAAGTGAGAATAAACCTACTGTACTATATTCATCATGCTATGCAGTTGCGTCCAAGTCTTCGTTCCATGGACGCGGAGTCGTGAGGTCGCGTCCATTTAATAAGTCCACTTTGCTTTGTTTTTGCTCTGCCTCCCGAACGGAATGGGGGCAAATTACAAGTTCTAGACACCGATTTCAGGATAAATCAGTCTCTTTACAACGACTTCCAGTCTTCTAGGGCAATTCTTTTTATTCGTTGTGATTTGGATGTTTGTTGCTATGCAGGGCGTGTTGTTTGATTGGATTATTAGGATTCTGGAGATTATTCTAGGGTTATTAGGATTTGAGGTATTCTCATGTTGCGCCTTGACTAACTAACACGGAAGAATTGAACGAAAACTAAAATAATCTTTATTACTTTAGGTGTAATTTACCAATAACTAGCCTAATTAAGTTACCTATAGTACTGTATTGTTTAAATTAAGCTTTAAACACTTTTAAAAACCAGTTTTTCACGAAACTCAAAATAAAAAAAAAAATACACAAACAATATTTGGCAAGAAGCGATTTTTCAATGTATCAGATTCTTATTTGATTGATTTATACGTTTACTTTTTCGCGTTGGAAAACCTTTAATCTGAATACCTAAACAACACTCACCGTGCATGTTAAAATTAATCTAAAAATAAAATTTTAAATTTTCACTTCAAACTTTATAGCAAACTCAACGCTCAAGAAAAGTTCAATCCCGCGAAAACGCTATCGTACTAAATAATTAACAGGTCGAGATTAGCTCTTGGCAAATCGAGTTTTGTATTTTTAAACGTGGAAAGTTTGGCTATCGCACAAACAAGGCGCGTAGCACGGCGAAGGACCGGAGTTAATAGAATTTTGAGACACAATTGAATTATACACCAGTAGCATTGGAGATTCACTGGGAGCCAGTTTATCTGGTGACTGGATAAATTATTGTTGAGTTATTTATATTTTGTGGCGACTCATTGAATTTTCATCAGTTAGCGATTGGTTTCTGAGAAACTGCACATTAAGTCCTCCAAGAGTTTTCTAAGTTTCCAACATATTGTATTGTCTTATGTTATACGGTAAACGATTTTCACATAGTTGAGTTGAACCTTAGATTAAAGAATTGTGAGAATTGATAAATTTGCCCTAATATACATTAGTCAAATTCAACCTACTTTCAAGCGTAGGCCTAAAGCGTAACGCTATTCCAAACACACATAAACCAATGAATACAGACCTTATAAGGTCTGTATTCATTGCATAAACATATTTTGCTTCGTTTCATATTTTGCAATGGGATTTTAAGAAGTCTACTTACGGTCTAAAGTGAACGACTACTTACTTAATTGAATTACTCGAGTTTGCCGGTCACTTGTTATTTAAATGGTTGATATCAGGAAATTCCGAACCAAAAATGATTTGGAAAGTGTTTCGCGATCATATCAAGATAAGATCGAAACAGGTTCTCCCCTTGGTATTTCCCTATATATTCGGCGCGCGCTCTCTAAGTAAGTGATTATTAAAATAATTTATACCCATTTAATGAAAACCCGGACATTTAATTAGTTAATGATGAATTAATAATTAAATTGAACACACTTATGAGGTTTTTAAATTTAGAAGTACAGTACGATTTTTAAACTAGTTTAATGCAGTGCAACATTGAATATAGTAGGCCTATATTTAAACTATAATACCGTACCTAATTCACATAGTTTGACCGTTTCGTTGGCGATTGTGTTTTCTTTTACCCCATTAGCACGATTTGCATGTGAGCGTCGCACAAAACGCCAATCTAAGATTGATGCGCAAAATAATCGTACGGAGATTTTATTTACATTTAAAGAAAGTGTCTTGCCTCTCATTCCGGGCACATTATACTTCAGTGAGTGCTTACTTACCGGTTTATTATTTATGTAAAGATTAAACGACTTTCTAAGAATACTTTAAACTCTGTTGATGCTCTGTTGTTTTTGTTACTCTTTGTTTGCAATTAAAAACAAAGTTACAAGTTTTAAAAAATATTTGATTTTCCAAACTGTACTTGTTTTTGATGCCGTACTTTTGAAGTGACTGTTAGTCAATGTTTCCAAAAGTCGTCTAATCCAATCCACGACTTTTCATTGGGTTTAGGAAAACTCAATATTATACTCATAGGTCCTAACAACCCAACATACCAAACATACATGTTTGGTTGGCCAAACATACCAAACCGATAAGAATTTACAATATCCTACTCCTCCTGGTGATTAGAGACTTTCTAACATTGCTTCTGTGTGTAACAAATTCGTGTTTTAACAATAATTACATTACGCTTTACCACGTGTCGTGACGTCATCGTCAGATCTGTACCATTGACTCATTAGTCAAAGTCTGTACACAAACTACTTAACACATGATATAGTTGCGTCATACATAGTTCGAGACAAACACACAACACGAAAACATCAAATAACTGCGATGTAATCATACTACGCTATCATGGGAAGTGTTTATAATGAGTCTTCTAACGTTTAAAATACTCTCTAAAAGTTCGAATATTAATTAATTGTGTTCCCTATAACATTCTTTATCTAGGGGAGTGAATCATAATCTCCACGAGTAAATATTTGGCTAGATTATTTCACCTTTCATAAACCACTGCATTCAAAGCCATTGAACCAAAGTAAGTTTAACTACACTGTAGTTTAATCTAGTTTTATGGAGAAACTGTGTACATTATCTTGTCATCAGATCGCAGAAACTCACTCGAAGTAAGAAGAACCGCGCTGTATCCATTCCTCATGGAGTTAATGTTAACGGCAATACACCGTGTACATTACTGCATTAGTGTTAAACGTTTTCGAAAATAGGTTTAAGTTATATTAATCGTAAAACACGAAGACGGTGTTCGTTAATATCAGCCTGAGCATCGTTTAAAATAAAGCCCAATCACACACACACCACTTATAGCTCAACAATCGTTCAATCACACAATAGCTTCGTAAAATTTTAGTACAATAAAGTGTAATACTATATCTCGCATTCGAATTGATTGAAACTCTCCCAAAGTAAGAAGAATCACTCTATAATCACTTCCCACTGGGTTACGTTAATGCTAATACACCGTGTACACTATATTGTAAACCGACGTGTTTAGATCTATACAGCGATAGTCACCTTTTGTGCCGGCTTTTCCAAAAGCCATTAAACCGAAATTAATAACCCGCGAGTGGCGGCGAATCACGCAAATTGCCGCAATTAATTCCCCACCTGTTTTGTTGTCTCAACTCTTATGAGCCGCGTTTTTAATGGAGGACCCGAACAAAGGGCGACACGGGAGTCGAGATTTGTCGTTTTTACCTTCGGCTAATTTCGCTAAGCCAGTGTTCATCGGATTAGTTCATTCTTTGTCGTTGCTGTAAACCTCGGTGCAGTGACATTTGTGCTGTAGTGTTTTGGGTTTAGTTAGCTTTTGATTGACTTATATTTAAATTAAGGGTGCGCTCTACCTCAGCTCAGGCTTCAGTAGCTATGTTGCACCATTGGACAGAGCGCCTTTTGAGTTTCTGTGCGGTACTTTACTTCTCGGAGATACGTCCAGAATGAATTCTAAAATTAATTAGGAAGAGTCAAAGTGTCTCAATTATAAAATAAATATCATGAAACAATATCAAAGGATCGGGTAGAGACATATTTAGTAGATGGAAAATACCGATGCAATTTATTTGAAAATAACTGATTGCAGTGTTTGATTAATTGTTGCAAAATCAGTTGCATTAGTCGATTGATTTTTTTACGTTATGAGCAT